AAAAAAAAAAAAAAATAATAATAATAATTTTTAAAAAACCCCAAAACACCACAGATGAAAATGAGGTAGCATCTAAAGAATGCTTGTGTTTCCCTTGTAATTTTGAGCTAAATCTGGTTGGAGACAATGGGGACAGGCTTAATAGGGCCTGTGACTAATGTAGCAGAATGGACTCTTAAGCAGATTGCATCTGCCCTGAGAACCCTGGGCAGAATGGCCTCCTGTGGCATCCCACTTCAGGGCCTCCTGCATCCCTGTTTAAGCCTGTGCATTTATTTGCTTAAAGATCGTGTGACTAGGGCCGAGCCTATCGGGATGGTGCGGCGTTGGGAGCGCTGTGCCGCGGGTTTGGATCCTATATAGGGATGACCAGTGCGCTCACAGCCCTCACTGGCTGAGCGCGGTGCGGCCGGTCTCAAAAAGGACAAAAAAAGAAAGAAAGAAAGAAAAAAGGATCATGTTCGTATAACTTCGTATAATGTATGCTATAAGGGTGGTTGTGGTATAATTGAATAACGTACTGGGATTTAGAAGATCTGACTTTTATTAGGTCTCTTCCAGTTATTATCTGTGTAACATTGGGCACATGTACCACTCGGAACCTATTTTCTTTAAGTTTGGTTATTTACACCTGGAGAATGAGATTTGGGAGCAAGAGAGAATAATAATAGGAGCTAGTTCGGATTTTACTGTTTATTTCATACAATTCTGTGCTGCTTGATTTTCTTTTTTGAGCTTGTGTTATTTCTATAATTCATGAAAGAAAATCGCACATGAATAGAAGGCAGTTCTGTTGACTAGCTAGTTCATTATTTTTCTGGTATACCTTGGAAGAGCTAGAAAATTGGGGGAGGAAGAACCTTTATCTTCAGGAGTGGCAACTTCTGTAGGTTGAGTCAGTCCATTTTCCTTGGTATTTCCTTAGTGCTTGAAAGCTAGCACTTGCTACCTTATATTGGAGTATTTGAAAGTGAATACCAGGCATTGGGTCATTAATTATTATTATTACTATTTTACATTCTAAGATGTGGAACAGTGGAAGGAAAAAGGAGGGGCTGTGGGATAGGGCAGGGTGGGGGTGCTGGCCCAGAGCCAGCTCCTTCCCTGGTCTGGTTGTAGAGGGCATGGGGGGGAGGGCAGTGGGACACTAGATTTTTTTTACATAGATATATCTTTCTTGTTCTTCACCCTCAGCTGAAACTAAAACCAAACCCCAATTTCATATTTGTTTTTACTGCTAAGTGATTGTTTTTCAAAGTACCAAAGTAATTCTTATTTGTTGTAGAAAATTTAAGTAGAATCAAGTTTTTTTGTTTGGTGGGTTTTTGTTGTTGTTACTGTTTTTAAAAGAAAAGACTGATAATTTTACCATCTGGAGATAACTGCTGTTAATGTGTGGGTATATTTATGTAGACATTTTTCTGTGGGATTTATAGATGTAAGATCTGTAATGGGACCATATTATATGACAATGCTTTGGTAATATCTATTTTTTATTTTTAGTCTATACATGGCAGTCCTGAAACAAGGACTGCCATGAAAATACACACACACACACACGTTTATATATACATGAATACATACATATATGTGGGTGTATATATATATATACACACATACACATACATATATATATATTCATATTCATATTCATGTGCTCCATCTCTCAGTGTATTTACTGGGTTTTCATCTTGTTTTTCAGTGGATGAATACATTGCCATTGCCAAAGAGAAGCACGGCTACAACATGGAACAGGTAATGACATGGTTTGTTTTTCTGTTGTTGTTCAAGGTGGGTTTTTATAGCCAGTCCATTAAATGTTTTTCTTCTGTGTGTTGATTAGTGATGTTTCCTCATGAACAGCTTTTTGGCGTTATATGAGACACTGGTCTTTTTCCTGCTTCATAGGGGTATTAGAGGCCCCATTTATATGAAAGGCATTCGTGTGTTTCTGTAGATCCACATCTTAGGGCAGTTGTCACTTAGTGGTTACTAAGGGGTGCGATACTTGAGCATAATGCTTTCTCATTTGAATATGTGATTTGTTTGTCCTTCTGGTTGTGTGATTTGTTTTCTGACTCATGTCACAATCAAACGTACAGTGTTTTAATATTCATTGTTTTGAATCACATTTAGGTTGTAAACATTTGACTAATATTTTCTTTTAAAGGGGCCGGCCCGGTGGCGCACTGGATAGTGCGCCGCTTGGGAAGCGCGGCGGCGCTCCCGTCCGAGGGTTCGGATTCGAAGGACTAGACAGG